AGTAGAGAGATCAAGCTTTGGCCCACTCCATCTTACTAATGATCTATAATGATAAATAATTAGCAATATCAGTGATGTCAGATAAACAGGTACATCTCCGGCCTGTCCTCTCCAAGCTCATATATCTCGCTACTAGTTAGCAAGGCAACCCTTTACGGGCCATTCACATATGCACATTGTGGTAACACACAGTATGTGCCTGGGTTTGGTGCAGTGCCTTTCAAAGCAACACACCTGTGCTGCAATGCACCGCAGCATACCAAAATGCACAGTGTGCATTCCAGTGTGCTGCACTGCAAAACAGATGCAGCCTGTACAATTTATTTATGTGTTGAGGTGTACTGCAGTCTATTGATTTTAAATTGGGCTGCCTAACACAGTGCGGCACAATACTCCTCGATGTATATATGCATTAAGAAGAACAACATTGTATTGTGAACAGGCCCTTACACTACAATTTCATGGCATCAAACAAATCCATAAAATATGTATATCTTATTAAGCGTAACTCACTAGGCAAGTGTAAAATATTATTTAATTATCAACAAGAGGCGTTCAACAATGGTAAAAAATAAAATCAGGCACTACCCTACCAGCATGTTAGTGAAATGCTCTAAATTGCCTTCATTCCCTCACTTTTATTTTCACTTGACAGCTTGCCTCAAACCTGACCCCAAAACATTCTGCCTCCCAAGTTGTATTAAAAACTGTATTATTGCTTTCCTTTTTCCAAACAATATTTGTGTCGGAGTGCCAGAGACAAATCTCAAGCACCATCCTCTTCAGTCTTAGAACAGGATATCCATTTACCAGCAAGCTCAGAACTGGCTTTATGTATCTACAGAATATCCAAATACATGCCTGGCTCGCAGCAATAACTACAGCTTTGTGTCCAACCTTTCCAGACTGGATTTTTCTGAGGTGCTCCCATGTTTGTTTTGGCTTCCTTCCCTTCTACATGGGACATAGAGAAATTCATATATGCAGCTATAAATGGATAAGTAAGATGGTTCACATCTTGGTTTGCTTACTTCCAGCCGCTTGTTCTGTACCGACTGTTACCCCCCATGGTCTCTGCTTTCTTTTTAATATATGAACACATGTTTCCTTGAATCTGTAGAAGAGTGCTGGTGGATTCTGTGGGTGTTAAATTTGCTGCATTTACATGTTGAGGGTTTGCGATAAAAAATATGTGGCATTATGAATTTAAAGCAGTTAAATTATGACTGTAGTGCCAATGTTTATGTTTTTTTATGCAGACATTCTAATTAGGAGATTTGGTTACGTACAGAATTTGTGATGCTAATAATCCTGTAAAAAAATATATATATATTTATCCAAGGGAACTTACAATCCAAACTAGTTTTAAACATAAGATGACAGTTAAACATGCAAGCTCCATCCAGCTGATTAATTACATTTTAAAGAGCAATAATGTTGAATAGTATATATATTTACCAGGCTAACTTTAGCTGCTTTGCTCAACAATTACATTCTTTGCAGAACTGAAAAGCTCAAGCTCTGATTTTCCACACAGCTGAATGTGCAACAAGAGTGCCTTAATCTCCAGATCTCTCTCCTTGTCTACTCAGCGATTTAAAATCCAAACTAAAAATGAATACAGCATTTACCTAAAACCATTATAGGTCCCTTTGAAGAATAGAAACGGGTACCCTGTGGTGGAACCAGGGATGCCCTCCTACCTGGGGTCCGGGGAAGATTGTAGGGTCCTTCTGGGGGTGATTTGGTGCCCGGCGGCAGGCTGTGGGTGCGTGCATGAGCGCATGCGTGACGTGCGTGCGTCGCATATGCATGTGTCGCTGCCCTGGCTTCTTTTTAATTATTTCAGTTTTATTGGTTTTCAATATAGAGTGCACACAATACAATCATATAGGCACCATGTATCCATGTTTTTAAAGTCATTAACAGCAGTCCAAATGCAGGGTACCATACAAGGAACAGCGTTCAGAACCCCAAAAAAAGAAAATAAGACATAAAGGGGGGACAAAGACAATTCCTTGCTCCAGGTCTGTAATCATATATTGTTTACATAACCCTTAGAAGTAATCACATTTCCATGGATGCACAAGGCACCTCTTCAGAGTAGGGAAGCCCTGGGGGGCGCATTCCCTAGCCTGACACAATGTGGGCAAGTATTAACTCATGTGCCCACTTGGGGTTGGCCCATAGGATCAGATAGGTGAGCATTACAGGATGCTGAGTCCTTAAAAGACAACAAGCAAGCCCATCTTCTGTAGAAGGTAGAGTAAGAGTCCCCGGCAGTATGCATCAGTTCCTCCAGGAGTCTAGTGGAGTCCAATGTGCGGAACCATTCCTGAATGGAGGGTACCTGGGCAGATCTCCAATGTCTGGGAATAATTGATTTAGCAGCATTCAGCAAAAATGGTACTATCGATTTTTTGTACGCTCTCGGTGGATCCACGGTGAGGTGGAACAAGCATACCCAAGGATCCAGGGGGAGCTGCACACTGCATACCTGATGAATGATCTGCACGACCTGCGACCTGTAGGGTTTGATTATTGGGCACTCCCACCATATGTGGGCAAAGGATCCTGGATTTTCACACGACCGCCAGCATTGAGAGTCAAGGTGGGTGTTAGCTGCATGTAATTTAGTGGGAACATAGTACCACCCAGATAGCAATTTGTAATTGGTTTCTAACATCGGGACATCATTTGAGGAGGTCGATACAAGGTCCAAAATCATAGACCTCTCCTCCGGGGTAAGAGTACGGTGAAGATCTGCCTCCCATTTATGCAGAAAGGGTGGCGCTGCCGTGGCTTCTTACTTGCTTCGGGTGCTGGTCATTGCCAGGGAGGGCCTTGCGAGCACTCCTTCTCCCCTAGCCATCCCATTGGTTCCCAGTGACCTGTGGCTTCTTTGTTGCCCAGACAACGGGGGTTATCTCTGGCTCCTGTTGGGTTTAAATTCCAGCCAGAGCCAAGACTTGTTGCTGAGTTATTCTGCAATTCCCAAAGCAGCTATGATGCCTCATTTCCTGTTTCCTGCCTTTCTTCCCTGCTATTTGGATCTCCTGGTTATCGACCCCTGGCTTGTCTCACCGTTTTTGATACTCGCTGCCTGCCTCGACCCGGACTGTACTCTGACAATGCATTTTGGATCATCCTATCTTGTACCTCAGCCTGGACTCTCCTGGTATTGTTCCCTGCTATTGGGTTTCAATCCAGCAAACAGGGGGACTTCGTTCATTCCCTAACATACCCTCATGCTTGTTCATGAACTGTGTAGATGTCCTGTTTCTAATCTTGGAGAAGCGTTGGTGGCCTTCCAGGAAAAAACATCTTATAAACTTTTCCCCTTTGAATTTTTTGGCCAAGGTGTTGCAGATGCCAACTGATATAATGACCATTGGTTGGCCTTACCCAAATCAACTTAACTACACAATAGTAATTATATTAGAGCTGGTAATGATTAAAAAATTTTGTGTTCGATTAATCGAAAAATTATTTAATCGATTAATTTCGATTAATTATAACACACATACAGATCCAACTACATTGGCCTATACACATACAGCACAGCAATGAAGTAATAAAATGAACTAGGATCACACTAATCCAGCACGTTATTAATCTCACGTGCCCCACTCAATATGGCTGCCGCTTGGGTGGGGCAACTCAGAATAATAAGGTTCTGGATTACAAATGTATTTACATAGTATAGTAAAACAGCAAAGCCCTGAGAGTGATTTAAACATAAGTATTAGCTTAATATGTGAAGTAGCAGCATCTGTCCATTCCATTTCATGTAAGGACCTGATTGCAACATAATATCAGTAAATTTCAATGGGCACATTTTTGGGAGCGAGATGGGGGGGGTTAATGGAGAGCCACATAGTGCATTTATATAAGTTTAAGATAAGACAGAAGCTCGGTGCTTCTTGGGCAAACTCACCGGCCCAAGTGGCTCCGTCGGCTAATGAAGGGAAGGGGGGAGGATAGCCGACAGAGCCACTTGGGGAAGGGGGAGGAGTCCGTTGACATCGATGTCCGTGACGTCACCAGATCTCC